CATACATACATACATACATACATACATACATACATACATACATACATACATACATACATACACACTTTAAGAAGAAACACTAATTGACAATCAATTTTACATCTCTTGTGCAAATTAAATAGCCAACAGGTGGAAATATTGGCAAGTACCAAGACACACTCAATAAAGGAGTGAACCAGTTCTAGTTGGAGGTGCTACCAGGAGACAGACCAGTACGCCAGGAGTCATGGAGGAGGAGGAGGCCAGAGCCCTTAAAAATGACCTTGAGCATTGCACAAATGTGCATTTGTTTGCACAGCTAGAAACCGACTCCATGAGGATGGTATGAGGGCCGACGTCCACAAATGTCGGTTAAGCTCACAGCCTAACACAGTGCAAGACACTTGACATTTGCCAAAGTACAACAGGATTCGCAAATTCACCAGTTGCACAGTATGCTTTTCACAGATGAAATCAGGTTTGCACTGAGGACATGTGAAAGACGTGTGACAGACGATTGTGGAGACACCATGGAAGGCGATCTGCTGCCTGCAAAATCCTTCAGCATGACAGGTTTGGCAGTGGGTCCATGTGATCACCAGAGGTAGCATGACTGCTACTGAGATGAGATCCTCAGACCCCTTGTGAGACCATATTCTGTTAAGGTTGGCCCAGGGTGCATCCCAATGCAGTACAATGCTGGACCTCATGTGGCTGGAGTGTGTCAGCACTTCCTGCAAGATGAAGCCATTGAAGCTATGGACTGGCCTGCCCTGAACAGAATCTGATCGAGCACATCTGGGACATCCACCAACGTCATGTTGCACCACAGACTATCCAGCAGTTGTTTCAGTCCACATCTGGGAAGAGATCCCCATGTAGACTATCTGCAATCTTATCAGGAGTATGTCCAGACATTGTAGGGAGGTCACACAGCCACGTGGAGACCACAAAAAATACTGAGCCTCATTTTGCCCTGTTTTCAGAACATTACGTTAAAGTTGTATCTGACTATATTGTTTTTCCCACTTTAATTAGGTGTAAAGTCCAAATCCAGGCCTGGATTGGTAAACAAATTTGATTTCCAAATTTGATATTTATTGAGGATTTTTTTTTCTGTGTGATTTTGATATCAGCACATTTAACTTTCTACAGAACAAAGTGCTCAGTGTATTTCATGAAACCATATCAGGTATTTATTATTTGTTCTCATATATATATATATACATACATACATACATACATACATGTATATATTCATTTATGTGTTTGTGTATAATTTCCTCCTCATTCAACCACTGCAAGTTCAATTGGGTGTACATCGTCACTATGGTTACTAGTACGATGGAATAATCAAAGAATCCAGGGGAAAAAAAAGGTATGTTTGACTGCTTTATTTTCCCCCAAGCTCTATCTTTCTCTTCCCCTCCTATGCAATTTTGCTGGTCTGTGGCACTGCAGATCATCCATGAAAATGAAATTACTTCATCCGTTCAGCAGTGACAGAGGCCTCTGCATAAAACATTTCACTGTTTGAACATGATACTCCCTCTCTTAATTTTCAATGTGGCACTCCCACACCAACATTGAGGCACTCTGCAGTTGCTTTCACTGCTGCAATTTTCATTTCCTGAGCTCACTTCACACTACGTTCATTTGTGGACTCTGCAGGTAGTGTACGGTGTTGTATAACCTATGTCAATTGATGCACTTATGCTGTTCTGTTTGGACTGTGTGTTTCACAATAGTACTGGGAGACTAATTACATCAACCATTCACAAGGTCCACTATCTGTCAATCAAGGCAGAATGTAATTATGGAATAAATAACACAGTGCAATCATTTGCCACCATCATTAGTGTCTTCAGAGCTGTTCAAAGTCTTGTAATCTGCTTTTAATGGAGAACCCTCTTAGATGACAGGCAGAGAAAATATTCTTTGCTTTGAAATTTTTCCCATTTGTAGACTATTTATGACAGTGAAATGGATTTTATGAAATTATTTTAAGCCCTCTGTAAATTCTTTACCAGACTCAACCGAGTTACCATCTTTAGACTGGCCTCGGATAGCTGTTTCAATTGATCCGTCATGTTAACTATCACTTCAAAATTCAGGGCCACACCAACGAAGACTTTCAGTATTAAAATGAGCAAACACCCAATAATGCTGAGTAACGAGCACATGGTGCGATACATCCCTGTATGCTTTAAGCTGTTTTAAGAGGGAATAACAGTTGAGCTGTCCTGTAATTCCTCATAGAAATGTCTAAATATACATACATGCCTAAATATTACACTCCTTATCCGGGCATACACTGTACGATTTTGGTTGGCCTTTTCGGGCCGACTCCACTCCATTGTGCGTCCTATGTCGTGTAGTATACAGGGGGTAAAGAGGGGCGATTAGCCCCCTATGACCACCTCCCGATCAGGAATCATAAGGATGATCCATGTAAG